ATATAATTTAATATTATTTGAATATTATCATGTATTAATCAAAATATTAATTTGTAAATTACAATATTGCATTATTATTATCTATGTTTAATAAAATTCAATCCTAATTTTCATCCTTTTTTTAGCGCCGATAATACAAGTCATTCTCCAAAATCACTGTTAAACTAAACATTTTTAAAGTTATTTGAACAATTTATTTGTATTTATGAATTATAATTGTGCTTTTGTCATAATTATGAAGTTTTATTTACGTTTTATAATTTAAGTGGTATAATATTTAATTATATAATTTATTTAATTGATTTTAAATGGGTTAACCCAAGTTAACCCATTTATTTAATAGGTTGGGTCGGAAACTACATAAACAGGTCAACCCGGTAACAACCCATTTATCTAAAAGGTTGGGTTGGGTTGGAAATATCAATCCATTTAAATAAACAGATTGGGTTGGGTTGAAATTTTCAACCCAATTATTAAATGGGTTGAACCCAAACCCAACTCAGGTCGACCCATTACCACCTCTACTTCCACCTTAAACTTTGCAAAATATCACTTTTGCCCTTTCGTTTTCCACTCATAATACGCAACAAAAACACGTAAAAACCTGCTGCAATACGCTGACTCAATTACTAGTTAAAACTAAAAAAAATTCTGCAGGGCGGCAATTAGGCCATCAATCTCGTACAAATCAATATGATAACCGAAAAAGAGACCACATGAAAAGAAGATAGAAGTTGTGGAAAGAAAGATGTTACCAACCAGGTATAATATAACAATATTAGACAAGATACCAAATTTGGTTATCAAAAATAAGTTTGTAGTAAATAAACGAAGCATATGCATATCCATTGGAGAAAGGACATTATATTAGTGTTGTACATCAGCAAATTAATCACACTACGAAATCAAAATGAAAAAAGGGGCAAAGGAATTTCATATTTGTACATCAGCAAATTAATCACAAATACAAGTAGACATAAATATGAGTCATATGAAAGTCACATGGTGTTATATTTGTAAGCTACGAAACAACAATACAATAACTTGATAAATTTTGTCACTAAAACAAAAGAAAACCCAACAGCCAACCATGTAACCACATTTGTCTTGGACATTTCATCAAACACCTTACAAACACTCTCCCTAATTTAGAGATATCCACATCAAAACAAAATGCAAGAACACTATAATAATCAAAATCCATATCAAACCTTTTTACCTGATTAATTAGGCTTATATTATCATGAAACCATGTCACAAAAAAAAATGTTTGTCATAAACTTTTGTATACTTTTGAAGATGCTCCAAATATTTAAAGGAATAACTACATGAATAATAATTAATTTTGTGAAAGAGGTCCAGAAATAGAGCCTTGTCAAAAACTTAACTAAAATCAAACTTTTTTACTTAAATAATTGGGTTAAATGCAATAAATAGCAATGTACTTTCCAATTCTATTTATTATAGCAATATACTTTCATTTCACATTTTCACATCAATGTCATGGGTCGTGGGGAATATCGTACAAAACACCAATGTTGTAGCAAGTTTCGAGAGATGAACAAATAAATTACCAAATTCCATGGTATTTACAATAACTTGCTTACTCAAAGGAAAAACGGGGAAAGCGATCAACAAATTTTCGAGATGACACTTAAAATATATTTTGTTGATACTAAAAATTCTTTCAAATTTATTGATGTTAGAAGATTTTTATCCGCATCACCGAAATGGGTCAAAGGGTATGAGGAAGAAAAACAAGGTGGTGAAAAAAGAACAAAAGTTTCAGAGACGAGTTACACTACTTCATCGGATGCGCATTTTACGGTTGATTTGAACAACATGGGTGAGCTCGAACTCGAAGAAGTAGTTCGACCGAAGGAACGAAATAGGGCGAAAAAGAAAAAGTCTTCATCAAATGCATTGGGTGTTGAAAGTGGCTCTGACATTCATAAGGACGTTTCTAGTTTCGAATTTTATAACTTGAATTTCGAGCGTCGTTTGAATTTTGAGAAAGAAAAGATGTAACAAACAATGAAAATGCAAGAGGCGAAACAAAGAACTTGTGCAGAGAAACAAACAAACGCGTTATTTGAAATTTTTAACAAAACCAATCGATCATCTCAGTAGCAAAGATCTCGATATGGTTTTGAGGGCTAGAACGAATATTATGAAAAAAAAAATATTATAATTAGTTGTATTTTGTAGTCGTATTTTTTTAATAGTCATTTTTATCTATGTGATCGTTTTATTTAAAGTATCATTTTATCATTGTAATCGTTTTAATTAAATTAATGAAATATTTTCCTTTTATTAATTTCATAAAATTTCATTTTTATTAAATTGCATTCAATTAAAAAATATAAATGTTGTATCACACCCAGTAGTTTTATGGGATGATAGAAAAAATGATGTGACGATGATGTGACACTACAAATAATATGGTGAGTGTGGTATGACCTAAATACGAGACATATGCAACAGTTACATGGTGTTATATTTCTCATAGACATTTTATCAAACACTTTACAAGCACTCTCCCTAATTTAGAATTTTGTCACTGAAAAACCAACAGCCAACCATGTAACCACATTTCTCATAGACATTTCATCAAACACCTTACAAGCACTCTCCCTAATTTAAAGACATTCACATCAATCGCATTTGAAAAATAAAATGCAAGAACACTATAATAATCAAAATCCATATCAAACCTTTACCTGATTAATTAGGCTTATATTATCATGAAACGATGAAACAAAAAAAAAGATGTCTGATCATCATACACTTTTGTACTACATTTGAAGATGCTTCACATATACAGTTAAAATTTTACTTTCCAATTCTATTTATTATAGCATTATACTTTCATTTCACATCATTATATTTCCAAATTATTTCTTAAAAAAGCAACACACTTTGAAAAATCTACCTGTAAATAAGCAACTTATTTTATTTGAATTATGCCATGTCATTGTCCACATGGGATATATCTAATGCTGATGTGCCAAAAAAATCATTTTATAAAACAATTTCAAAGTGCATTGCTTTAATAAGAAATAATATGGAAGTACAATGCTATAATAAGAACAAAAACGAAATGTACATCGCTACTTTTTTGCATTTAGCCCCTAATAAGTACAATGCTATAATCTAGTATGTGATATCAAAGGCTCAAAAGCTAAATTTAGTACTATTGTATATATTATCATAGCTTAATTTAGTACTTCACAATCAATAAACATCTAGTATAGCTTAAATAATAAATAGTCATGATTGAAAAAATGGAGAAATTGGAGCAAAATAGTGGGATTAGGATTACCATTTGATTTACAACATCCATGGCGTCATGTACAACTGCAACGATGATCCTTTCTCCTTTCTCCTACATCAACAAAAGCATCTGTATAAAACATCAATGATCTCAAATTCAAATTCAAGATGCTATAATACTGTAGATTTCACATACCTTTACAATGTTGAGATGCGTAAATCTTTTAAGCTCCAGATGCAGAGCATTAAACACGGAAGTATCTAGAATAATCAAAAATTTCATGAACAGCAAGAGGGATATGATCATATGAATATGATCCATTTCTATTAGTGATCCGTTTTCAATTCTATCCTGTTCCTTCGAATTCCCTTGTTCGAGTTCATGATATTATGAATTAAGTAGGAGATTAAGATATAGATTATAGAATCGATAGATGAAGGAAATAATGGAATGATCGCAGCTAAAATGATATTAAAAAAGACCAGAACTTTACATCTGTTGATTTGCTAATAGAATTTTAGAAAGAAATTTCTACAAGCTACCAATACCATCACCAGAAACATTTCAGAAAACTTCTAATCCATAGAGAACGCCGGCGTACTTCTCAGGTCCACCGCTGCAAAGAACCTTAATCTTCTGAAACGCGTGCCAAGTCAGCAAGCTATCGGAACCTGCCTGGTGACACTTCCCAACAGCCCGATCGACCTCCAAAGTCTTAGCCACCCGATCCAACCCACCATACAGACTCTCACAGTACCTCATCAGATGCTTAACATCGTAAACGTTAGCCCCAAAGAAAGTTTTCAGAAGATCGAGAAACCTAGACAACTCATCGGGCAAAACCCGCCCAGCGAGGAGCTTAACCAAGTAGCCAAAATCATAAGCGCTGTGAAACGTAACCCAGCTCACACGCTCGTTACAGACAAGCCCTGAAGACATCATCAACTCCGAAAATTTCACCGAGTCAATCCCAAATTCACGATTCTTCTCAAAATCAATCCCTTGTCGCTTCAAAAGTTCGATCGAGTCAGAAGCGTGCTGGTCGCGTGACGGATCGAAGTCGTTGAAATTAAATTCCCAAATGTAACGAGTGTTGTTGTTACTCTCATCGAGATCCGGGAGATTTCCTTCAGCGTCGGTGAGGGTAAGGCCAACCTGGATGAGTTTCAGAGCATCGACATTCGATTTGAGGAGGAGATAGTGATCGGAAGGGCTCTGGTTGCGAAAGTAATCATAACCCGCGTTAGGGCGAACGACAACGCCGGGAAACTCCGTGTCCATTGAAACAAAAGGGTAATCATCGATTATTGATGTGATCAAATGGAATTCTGATTGTAGATTGTACGCAAAGACGGAACGAACGACGATGCGTGGCGGGGGCGATGGTGGCAAGTCCTTTAACGACATGGCAGAAGGAATCTGTGATGGGTGATTGGGTGATGGGTGATCTGGATTCTGGATTAGGGTTAGCAGAGGGTGTATGTATATATAAAGAGGAAGGAGACGAAGAAATGGGGGACGTGAAGACGGTTTGATAGTGGGAATGAGTGGGGGGGGCATAAACAGACCCGGGCCATGGTACGAATACGAATACGTGTTCAGCTTTTTCTTTCTTTTTCTGTTAATAATGACAAAGATAATAAAATAATATTTGTTTTCATTTTTTTAATCATTAAATTAAATAATTTCTTGTTTTTTTGTTCATAATTTTTTGATTTAAGTATGTAGTTTTGACTTTTAATTTGATTCTCATTAGTTGATTTGTATAATAAAGCATGTCTAATCATATGAAAAGATAATTTAGTGGAAAATATATTTTAATATTCATAATCAACTTTGTTTTAAATTTTGAATTTTGAATATATAACTAGGTTTTATGATTATATTTAATAGTATTTTATAACGTATTACAAATAATACGACAAAAAAAGTTGTGACTGGTCAATCATATCTAAACCTTCTTGTCCCATTTTAAAGAGAATACATGTTAGCTTTAATTTATGCTTTTGAAATGTGCTTTCTAGCTTTTTGTTTTGAACTATCGTCTAAATTTTTTATTAATTCATACATTTTTTTTTCAATCAATGAGTGCATCAAATAAAAGTAAAATTAACAAAAAGCAAAGTATTTAATATATTAATTGAAATTGAACGATTAAAAGAAAGAAAAAGACGAATATGATTGATCTTATTTATTGTTTTTTTAAAAATAGTTAAAAAAATAGTCAAACAGTTATACTAGCCATTATTTCACAAGATGTCAGCTACAAAATGGGTAAAAGATATGTGAAATCATCAAAACGATTGTAACATACGTTTTTCAGAATAGATCAGTTGAAGACTCAGAGGGATCAAAAGTAAAGTTTTTGGAAGAACCTTATGACACTACGTAGAGAATGGAGTGCCACGTCGTGACATACCAATTCAAAAACGCGCGTCTAGATGGCCGCCACGGTGTGGCAAGAGGAAGGCCACGATGTGGCAGCCGATGCAGCCAAGTCGACGAGTTTTAGGGTTTTCTCTATATTTAAGCACTTAATCTTAAGGATTATGGCATCATCTTCAGCCTCCAACCATTTCGAATAAAACCCTAGCATCCATGTTTGATTAAGGGCTTGATTTCTTGATTTAGAGTTTATTCTTTGGATTTTGGTGAAGCTTGGGGAAAAGAGAGGTTCATCATCGTGCAACGGAACAAGGAGCAAGTTTAGATCTAGCATTTTCTTTAAATTTCTGGGTTGTTGAAGGTATAAAGTTCATACCTTGGCACTTATGCTTTTAGATTCAAGTTTAAGGCCATATTTGGGTGGTTTTAGTCTCTACCATGGATGCTCTTGGAGTTTGAGGAACTCCAGAGCTTGATATGGCTCCTCTACGGTCAAGATGTTCTGTAGAATGGGAAAAATAAACCATGTTGGAGTCACCTTGTGTTTATGTATAAGGTTTGGCTCCATTAAGGACTTAATGGACTTAGGATCGTAGATCTAGCCTTATAATGGAGTCCTAATGGATAAATTTGGAAACTTTATCCATTAAGTCATTGAAAAGAAGTAGATCTGAAGTTTTGTGTCTAAATCCGTAAGGATTAAACACTTAATGAAGATTTTGGCATTCTGCCAGAAGTCACGACGTCGCCAAGGCTTGCCTCGATGTGGAGGTGCTCAAATGCTTGACTGTTTTGTCCTTAGTTAACCAAGACGCGGCCAAGAGCTTACCACGAAATTGGATTTATTAACATATCCGTTAACTTTTGTTGACCGTTGACCATTGGTTTTTGACCAATTTGACCTTAGTTTTAACCTATAGTTTGGGTTGTTGTTCAAGGTGTGTTCTTTGATTGGGTGGTCGTCGGTTCGCGGGATTGTCTAGTAAGAGGATTTAAGAGTGTTGCAATGTTATCCGGTTATGCATTTCAGGTGAGTTTTCTCATTATACTTTGTATTGTAGTATATATATCCTTGTGTGTACGATGTTGGTATGCTATAGTGATATGTTAGATTGGTAGATTTGTTATAATTACCTTTGTTTGGTGGTTATTGTTTATTTATTTGCATATGTTGACATATTAGGTGGTGGGTTGAGGCGGTCCTGCTTTGTGTTGTAGGCCAAGATACTCGGGCGGGCCAGCGATGTGTTGTAGGCCATGCATGGATCAGTTTTATGATGAGAGGGAGTGGTACAGGTATACTGTAGGCCTTTCAAGGCGATGTAGTCAAACTATAGGCTCAGGAGAGCGGTCCAGGCATGTTGTAGGCCTTACGAGATGGCCCAGACAGACTGAAGGTTCATCTGTGCATGCATTGTATGTATATTGTGGTGTGTGGTATTTTGGGGAACTCATTAAGATTTGGCTTACAATTGTGGATTAAATGTTTTTCAGGTACCATTGGTGATTGCAGGAAGGCAAAGACGTAATTGTACACACTCATCAACAACACTGGAGTTCCGCGTTTATAACTTAATACTTTGTTTTCCTAATTAATTATAATTGAACATATGAATTTCTTAACTTGGGGTTTTATGAAAATGGTGTTTACCTTAGTTACAAATGAAATTTTTGTTAGTGAAAATGGGACGTTACAAGTTGGTATCAGAGCCTTGGTTTGGAGGATTTGGAGGAAGACTTGTGTGAATCCAAACTTAAACTAGGATTCGATAATTTTTACAAAATGTTTCCAAAAAAGAAATTTTAATAAAATGGTTGAGGAGACATGGGTTTAGTCTCTTGTCATGTTTTGGGATCGTGAACATGGACCTTTGACTCGACCTTGGTTTTACAAGAAGATGTGATGTGTACTGTCAGCCAGAGCCCGAACAGGAAAGTGATTCCCAAAATATACATACTTGTTATATATGTTGAATTTGCGCTTGTTGATATTTGAACTGTTAGAAATACATGCTAGTGGATAGGCTAAGGATCTTTTCAAGAACTATACGATAAGTATTTCCTGACTTCTGTGATGCCTTATAGTCTAGGGATTTGCTTTTTATGTGCTACTTGATTTTGTTAATTTCTAAGTGTATGTTGTATAGTTGTATACGATTAGGATTATATAGCCTTAGAATGACTGACTTAGCCTTATTTCATGTTCTTTGTTTGGTTGTGGGCTTAGGTTAGAGTCATTCATTCTACAGTCTATTTGATCTTGTATTGTATACAACTTGCATTTACAAGGCAAGCAACGGTGTAGGTATAGGTTCTAGCAGTGCGGGAGCGTGATTGAGGAGAATCCTAGGATAAGTTCCTAGGAAGTTAGTTTCGGATCTTAGGAGCATATGGGTGTTAGTACACCTAGGAGTGGTCTAGTGTAGTGACTTAGGACCTTGATATGAATTCTGATTCAACTACGGATAGGTGTGGAAGGTAGTATGGGCCCGTACTATTGAAAGCAGAGGATCTGTATGAGAATCGGAAATAGTCTCAAGGCTACTAAGGAACTAATAGGTGAATGCATGGTGTGTTTGAGCATTATTTCTTCATGTTTGATCTTTCTATTGTGTGTTTCAGTATGGTGGTTATCAGAGGTTCAGGATCAGGCGCTGGCTACACCGAGAGGACAGGTCCGAGTGATGAGGAGATCCGCAGGATCAGTGTTGTCGAGGTAGTCGTGGCAATCATAGAGGCGATTCCATATATGTTTGGGTCTGTTAAGACCGTGCTAATTGAGAAGTTCGACGGGTGATATGTTGTCGCCACGTAGGCTATCGCTGTCGCAAACACTCCAGCCGTTGCCACTGTGGGACTTTAGAGAGGTGGGACGATGAAGTACCAGGAGTTTAGTAATACAAAGCATCCGGAGTTTAGAGGAGACAATGACCCGATTACCGCTTTGAGATGGATATTTGACGTGGAGGGATGTTTCTGCATGTGTTCATGTCCCAAGGACCAGAAAGTAAAGTTTGCGTTGAACCTTCTGCATTAGGGAGCGAAGGATTGGTAGGAGTTTGTGACTCAGACCTTTTCACATGGAAATCGATCCGCAGTGACTTGGGAGCAGTCTTTGGAGATGTTTTGGGCAGATAATGTCCCACTTGTGGAGAGAGAGTGACTAACACAAGAGTATATGTCGCTCAAAAAGACGACTGAGTCGGTGAAGGAGATCACCAAGAGATTTACAAAGAGATCCTTTTTCTTCCCGACGTATGCTACTTTAGAGTAGGTGTAGATGTCACGATACTTGAGTATGCTCAAGACTAAGGTTAGAGAGTTCGTGGCGAACACCCAGTACTGAACCTTGGCTGAGTTGCAGTCGAATGCCTGGAAGAGAGAGATTGGGATAGATACCCAGAGGAAGGGAGAGGGGATGCCAGTTTCAGAGAAGTCGCAGCTGGCGGCCAAATGGTTCAAGTCCACTGACTCGAGATATGGAGCAGTAGAGTAGGGGAGTTTCGGGTGTGGGAAGTGTACGAAGTTTCATGATGGAGTGTGTCGATCTTTTGTATGTCGTAAATATGGTAAGGAGGGGTATTTTGGTAGGGATTGCAGGCAGAGTGCACAAGTTTGTTTTCATTGCGATCAGGTGGGCCACATCAAGGCTTGTTGCCCCCTTCTCACTTTTGGTAAAGTGAAAAACCTTACACCTTTAGTTTGGTTGATGTCAGATGGACCTCGGGGGAGGGATGAAGTGTCTAGGATGGAAGGAAGAGCCTACCAGCTTGTTGCATAGGATCCAGGTGCAACGACTATATAGGCTGCGGGTATTTGTCCAATTTATTTGATTTTTGCATTTATGTATCAAGTTTTTCTTTTGAAAGGCTTCCGTTGAATTGATTGTTATCCTGTGTAAGAAATTGCATTCGAGGTTGCATTAAGTGCTTAGTAGTCCGCAGTGTTGGGGTGACATAGGCTCAGAACTTTCGAATTAACCTCTCTACATGTTCTTGTTGATGAAGGTTTTTGGGGTTGAGTTGAATGGTTCGAAGGACTATCTTACTCTATCTCGGTTTATTCCTTAGGGGGCAGGAATGGGTATTACTTTATTTGGTTCGAGTTGGAGCTTTAGTTTCATGTTGGTCGCGTTCGGATGATTTGTATATTCCAAGTGGGTGATAGTGGAGTTA